GCTGCACTATGCAAATGAGCTACTTGTACGCCTCAGACTTGCCTTTCAAAAACTTTTGCAAACTCGCCAAACAAACAGAAACAATAAGATTAAGCATTGCTTGGGAAACTCACAAATTAACTCGATACCAGAGTAAAGAGTTTTCTTACATGACTTTTCTTTACAGAACAAACGCAAAATCTCACTCGTACAACTAGCGCGAGCACATATTATTCATTCACAGCGCGAAATTGAAGTCTTGTTTTCGACTCTGAAAAACGCACCTTTTCCATTAGCTCAGAGCATAAAACTACATGTAGGGGCCCTGGTTCTTATTCCCTGTCTTATTCCCTGCCATCGCTGTGAAAAATCTGCAAGAGAATATCGCCACTGTCACCATTTGATCAGGCAAGAGAGCCCCCGACATGTGCGTGGATCCGCGCGGATATACGATGTCAGGATGGCGGATCCCAAGACTTACGGCAGGGGGGAAAAACGTATGAGCGCCCTGCTTACGGTCTCCGTCCCCGATTATGGCTCCTGATGTTACGCGATCATGCTGTTCCGCACAGTCGACTGCAAATCGCATCCGAGGCTCACATGTTGTGTAAAGACATGCTAGACAACTTTTATCGGTTTCAATTAGGCGACGAGAAGTTTACTAAATAGAGTGGCTCAATCGATAATGTGTAACCTATCGGAGCATCGGAGCAATGTAGTTCATGAAGTGGAGGCTTACCTGTTTTTGTTACTCATGTAGTACGTACGAAAAGTAGCTGGAGATTGAGATACAAATGAAGTGAAATTATGGAACGATTCATTTAGGTTTCCTTGTTTTCTATTGTTGCTAGCATTACCAGAGCTCAATTAAGTAACTCGTATAACTATGTCCGCAATGCGGACCTATTCTTTTTATGAAAATATGCAAAGTTAGCTCATCTGCACGTGACAGCAACAACAACAACAACAACATTGTGCGTCATTACCAAACGGGAATGATGTCATTGATTCTTCAAATAAATCCCGTTCCACACTGTACCTCGCCAGTCTCCGTCTAAAAGATGGCTGCATTTAGAGAAATATTTGCACTCTTTGCAGTTTTCTTGGTGTCTTGTCCAATTCCAACGTCTTTAACTCCATCTCCTGGATTAATTTCCAAAAACTACGCTCAGATCGCACGGCAATTTGGCTTTCCATTTCCGAGGCTTCCAAATATTTCTTTCGCGAACGTCGGCAAGCAGTGCAAAGAAACTGTGGAGAAGCTGAGTACTTCTCCTCTTGCTTATTCTTGTGAGTATGAACATTTATATTGTTTAAGCTTCCAGCATGAACGGCCTGACGCTTCCGTTTTCTGCTACAATATTAAGCAAGATTGTGAGCCCGCCAATATAAGTTCAAACCTTTGTCGATCGTAGCGTCATGGGAACATCGTGCTTCAAATTGGACCTCTTTTGTTCGAACTCGATTATTTTGAATTCCCCGCTATTTGGAACTCAAAACTATCTCTTTCCCTTGCATTTGCTTTTTAGTCGTTTACTTTGTCTCGAACCTGTATTTTTCGTTTCCCCTGATGAACAAGAAATGAACTAAGTGTTAAACTGAAGTGCTACCGCGGTCCCGCAGTGGACGAAAGAACGAGGTATATTCGTGGTTTTTATATACAGGTATAATGTTAATTATCACGACTGTGGGACTGCGGTAGCAGCATTTGAAAGCACATATTAAGTGGCCGGGTATTCTGAAGTTTAGCCAGAGTTCGAAATAGGGTTGTTCAACTGCAGATTCTTTCTCCAGAGCCTTGAATTTTTTTTTTGTTAGGTCGCTGATTTCTAAATGGTTTGTTGCGTCGCTTGCTAGCCATCCCAAATAAATCACCCCAGACACAGCCATTATGTGTGACGAAAGTGCACAGTACCTAAGCTTATTACAACAATGTCGTAATCTGAATTGTGCAAAATACTCAACGAGCTGAAAATCAGTCCTAAATATAGTTTAAAAGGGGGGGGGGGGGGTACCTTATAGGCTTACCTGAAATTTTGTACCATTCTCCTGACTTTTGCTAAATTGGATTGTGCCCCCGATATTTTGTGCAATGTGCTGTTATATTATCTCTAACTTTTAGACATAGCTTTTGTGTCTTCTGTCTCTGGTGTTTAGATTTCTGACAGAAATTTGTTCAATATTTAGTAGAGTTGTCCTCTCGCTCCCTCCCCCCAAGTGTAGATATATAATCCTTTGTAGAATACTTCTAATCAAGGGTGTAAATGTAACAAGTGTTTTCTAATGCATTTTCCTGTTTTTGTGTCTTCATGTATGTATACTTGCCAACTCTCACGCCTTAGGTGCGAGTCTTGTGCCTGCGGATTGAAAAAACTTTGATCTCACGCCAGCTCACGGTTACGGGCCGAATTCTCACGCCTGATTGAAAAATGTGAATGGTTACAGCTTTGAAAGTGAAGTATGATCATCGCAGTAAATTTTCCAATTTAAGCAACTGGAAAGAAGAAGCCTGAAAAAAAAATCAGGGCTTCAACGGGATTCGAAC